AATACCGCTGTTAGAATCAAACAGATTGAACGCCTAAACGCCATAAAACAAAGCCGAAATCAGGCCGATGTGGATGAGATTTTGGCTCAAATCACCCAAGCCACTCAAAACACCGATCAAAACCTATTGGGACTGGCCGTAGAGGCGGCCCGAAGACGGGCCACTTTGGGAGAAATCTCATGGGCATTGGAACAAACCTATGGCCGATACAAGGCCAATATTAAAAGCATCAGTGGAGTGTACGCTAAAGAATCCAATCTTAATGACCAGTTTGAATTGGCCCGCAAAATGGCCGATCAATTTGAAACGCAAAATGGGCGACGCCCTAGAATTATGGTGGCCAAAATGGGACAAGATGGCCACGATCGAGGGGCCAAAGTGGTGTCCACCGCTTTTGCCGATATGGGATTTGATGTGGACATTGCCCCATTGTTTCAGACCCCTGAAGAAGTGGCCAAACAAGCCGTCGAAAACGATGTGCATATTTTGGGCGTATCGTCTTTGGCCGCTGGGCATAAAACGCTGGTTCCCGCAGTGGTTCAATGTCTAAAAACCATGGGCAGAGACGACGTGTATATTGTGGTGGGCGGGGTAATTCCTCAACAAGACTACGATTATTTATATCAAAACGGCGCCCATGCGATTTTTGGACCGGGCACCAATTTGGCCGAATCGGCCGTTAAAATATTGAATGATTTAATGAATGATTAAATCGTCTGTTGACATAGAAGCCCTGGAAAAAGGCATATTAGAAAGAAATCCTGGTATGCTATCCAAGGCCATAACCTTGGTAGAAAGCAAACTTCAATCTCATCAAGATGCCGCTTCTCTGTTGCTCAACCAATTGATGCCTTATACTGAAAAAAGCGTTCGAATTGGCATTACTGGCGTACCTGGTGTGGGCAAAAGCACTTTTATAGAATCGTTTGGCGGATTGCTCACCAAAAAAGGCCACCGTGTAGCGGTTTTGGCGGTGGATCCATCCAGTCCCATTAGCAAAGGCAGCATTTTGGGCGATAAAACCCGAATGGAAAATTTGGCCGTAAACCCCCAAGCATTCATTCGACCATCGGCTTCGGGGGGCACTTTGGGTGGCATTGCCCAGCGCACCTATGAAAGCATTTTATTGTGTGAGGCGGCGGGTTATGATATTATTTTGGTTGAGACCGTTGGCGTGGGACAATCCGAAACTTTGGTTCAACAAATGACCGACTTTTTTTTGTTTTTAAAGGTTACTGGCACAGGCGACGAATTGCAAGGCATTAAACGGGGCATTATGGAAATGGCCGATTTGATTTTTATTAACAAAGCCAGCGAAGATAATTTGGCGGCTGCCCAACGCACCCAAAATGAATTGCACAAGGCCTTGCATTTATATCCCATGAAATCATCGGGCTACAAGGTGGAGGTGCTTATGGGAGAGGCTTTACACGATATTGGCATAGAAGCGGTTTGGGATTTTATTCAAGACCAACAAGCCCATATCAAATCCACTGGATTTTTTAATCGCCAACGACAAAACCAACGATTGGACATATTTAAAAGCCATTTGGGACAATTGGTAATGGATTATCTGCAAAACAACCCATCTTTTGAACAAGCCCTCAGTCAAGCCGAAAAATTGATTCAATATGGGGAAATGCACCCATTGTTTGGGGCCAAAGAAGTTCTAAGAAAGGGGATACCTAACTTATTTTCAACTTCATCCCCTTAATCATCTGATTGAAAAAATCGGGGAACATCCAACGGACCATCATGACCGAAACCCCA